CCCCCCCCCCCCCCCACCCACCCCCGCGCGCAAAAACGCCATTCTCAGCTATTTTCTCGTGGCACCAGAAGCGACGCCCTGCCATCTCCTCTTGCCTCGAATAACGGGCTCCTCGGTCGAACCACAGCGGCCTCAGAAGCTCGGAGAGGCGTTTCTGGACGAGGGGTGGGGCGAAGGGGTCCACGCAGAAGGCGACGATGCGACCGGGGCGGTCTAGAGCTCCGCGTGGATTGGATGATTCGGTATCCTGCTCGAGGGTATTGCGCTTTAGTTGGGGCTACGGGTTTGGGTTGGACACAGGGTTGCGAACCCCCCTCTCTCTTTTTCTGGATGAGGGATGGGGCGAGGGGGTCCACGCAGATGGCGGCGATGCGACCGGGACGGGCTAGAGCTCCGCGAGGGACTGGATGCTTCAGTAGCTTCTCGAGGATGCTTCGCTTTGGTAGGGGTTACGGGTTTGGGTTAGGGTTAGCTACGAACCCGTTTTCTCTGTTTCTGGACGAGGAATCGAGGTAAGGGGTCCACGCAGACAGCGGCGATGCGACTAGGGCGGTCTAGAGCTCCGCGGGGATTGGATGCTCTTAGTAACCTTGGCGAGGGTATTCTTGGTTTTTGTACAATCACATCCGTTGCCGTGAGATTCCCCGTGTCGGAGGTCACCGTACTGGCAGTGCCGTTACATTTCCCGAAGATCATTCGCCATGGATGTACAGCAGTCGCAGGCCATCTATAAGGCGGGTTATATTAGGCGGGTACCCGCTATTGACTAGGGCGGGTGAAATTGGCTGACGGGTGCCCGCTATAGACTAGGGCGGGCGAAGTTGGCTGACGGGTACCCGCTATATATGGGTACCCGCTATATAGACTAGGGCGGGCGGTTGGCTGGCACAGATGAAAAATTCAAGACGGTTATACATTGAGTTATGCGGGTGCCCGCTGTAGGGCGGGTGAATCGGTCTGGCGTATGCCCGCCTTATTGAGGGCCGACGTGTCAGTCATGGGTCTGTACGGTGCAGGGGCTACGGGATTGGGTTGGGAATTTAGGGTAGGGATACGAAGCCCCCCTCTGATTTTTACACATACAAAACAGAGGTCCCTGTTGAGTGCCGGTTGAGTAGTGACGTTGCCGATGTTTTCGGCGTGAACACTAAATTTTAAGTCGTTGTCAGTACCCTGAATAGCGCCGGTCCGGTATAGTGCCGGTGAGTTTTCTGGGTACATACCGGCACTGAACAGGGACCTCTACTATTCAACGGGTAGGGTCCGAATGCTTGGTGTGGTAGTGATGTTTGACTTTCGTGATTTAACGATGGTGTAATGAAGCAGGTGCTTGGGGATCGTCCCTTGACATGTGATGATGAGACGGCGCAGCTTACGTTGGGTAGGCTGCGGCGAAACTACGCTTGTCGTACGGTACGACAGCGTGGACCATTCTTGTTCGAGTCTACACGAATTTGTCGATTGTTGTGTCCAACAACAGACAGCACCCGTTCTGAGAACCTCTACCTCTATACGGTTGGTGGGCGCGGGGGGTTCTTCGTTCCTACGGTTTCGCCGCAAAATGGCCGTTACCTTGCTTTATTTTAGTTTGTGTGTTCGTCCCATCTATTCTGGCGCCGGTTTCTAGGCCTTTCGGCGTGGCATACCGTATATGACACAAGATAACACATCCCCTGGACCGATTTTCAAAGCTCGATTACTCCACGACGAAGAGGGTGCATAAATGAAACAACACATTTTTGGAAAGCTCTCGACGATACAGTTTCAACGCCGTCGTTTTCGGCGCCGTGACTGTTCCTGCAGTTGAGAAATCGAGCTTCGAAAATTGGTCAAGGAGGTGTGTTATCTTGTGTCATATATGGTATGTTCCTGGCGTATCTGCCGGGGTCACACAACAGGAAGATCACACAGGAGCTTCCTTGTTTTTTTTTGCTGCCCCACCTTTGCCCCTGCGATGCTTTCGTAGGAGTCCTTAACCGGGCTCACAAATGGTGCTCAAGTTATCATGTTTTGAGTTCATACAAAGCACGCTTGACAATTCTTGCGTAGCTCATTGCTGCCAAGTTCTTCAGTTCGGGTGCATTATCTGTAGTGAGAGGTGATGGGTGTTTCTCCAAAGACGATAGGCACGGTTGGCTCCCCACAAGCGTCGTGGTGTTTTTCAAGAGAACATACATCAAGTTGGCAGTTCGGCGAGGCTTGGTGTTGGTTCAGCCGCAGAGCAAGGGCTTCCGCCATGCTCGGTGAACGCCGGAGATGACAAAGACGTTTCGTTGCCTGTAGCAGAGAAAGATCTGGGTAACTCCAGCTTCCAAGACTCGCACTAATCCCGCCTCCGTTCCTATCTCGTAGCACAATTATTGACAATCTGCCCTTTTCTCGAAGATAGACGCAACCGTCCGCTGTCGTTCGGAGACGAGGTGGATGTCTGGATAGTTCCGCCTGGGGTCTTCCATACCCACACATCATGTATTTTCACGTCAGCCGGTTAGCAGCGCGGTCGATGCTAGAACAAAAAAATACACGCATGGTTCCGACGCTTCGTGCCGCTTGACATGTGGCGAGCTTGAAGGGTTGAGGACAACAGAACGTACGTTATAACACGCTGTGTCTCCGGGGCTCTTTCGCCGAGCGGTCTTCAGCAACGACTCCAGCATCCACTATCGTCTTTCCTGAGGCCTCATTGGCCCAAGCTACGGCAGCGGTCAACCGATACACGCCCTACAAATACAGTCATGGAACACTCGGGACTACTTTTACCCTCACTTTAACCCCCTTGCCACGCAACAAGCTTTTGGGGACAGTTCGTCCCCACGTGACAGTCCCAAAATGAAACAATGGACAAACATTTGGACCCCCTTTCACCACGCCAAACCACCATATCTGATTGTAAATTCCTATGAAGTGTTCCAAAATATTTTGGGACGTTAATAGGGATTTCAGAGCAGGAAGTGGTGCAGGGGACCTTGACTAAGATCATTGGCGTTGGGGGTTAAATGCGAGTCCCACATCAACGGCCACACCCTGCACACATACATTTTCAAAACCGAACCCAACAAATTATTATAATACTCTAATCTACGAAACTCTCGCTTGCTTCACCGGCGCCGTATACACATCATCCCGTTGCACGGGGCCCAAGTAAACAGAACACAGCGTCCACATATCTCACGTACGTTCACCAAAAGCAACCTTATAATCGACCCCATCCACCCAGCACAACCCGTAGCGTCTAGTCCACGGGCCCAAACCAACTAAGCTCCTAAAAAAAACAACGTAAAATAGAAGTACTCCACCAGCTATACATCGAATGAGGTAACGCAACGTTCCACACGGAAGACGCGAGGCCAATATATTGCTACTGTGTTACCATGGAAAAACACCAGTATTACCGTTGAAAACATATCACGGTAATGGTATACTACCACGGAACGTTACTATCGGTACTCCGAAAAAGGTAAGGCGACGGTGCACAACTCCTCGTGCTTCGCGACCGGGAGGACTTCCCGACATCGAAGATCCCACAGGGCAACGGCTTTCTCGTACACCCGCCACTGCAAAGCCAAAGATCCGTTGAATTCGCGCACCAGCTGCGGGTCTAAAGCCGCCAAGACGTCGCGGGACCTCAGTGGAGACCTGTCAGGGGAGGGGGGGTTGTTAGGTGTACCCTGCACTAGATGCAGATCTACGGATATCTAGGGAGGTTTATTGTTTCATGTCGGTATAAGGGGCGACTGTTAGGTGTACCCTGCACTAGGTATGGATCTGCGGTGATCACAGCGGTTTTCGCGTATCGTGGTGCCATGTGCTTGTAGGAGGGCGATAGATTTCCCTCTTACCTTGCAGGGGCAAGCACGTCCTGTGCACTCGTTAACAAAAAGCACCAACGTCATGGGTCAACCTTTGCTCGACAGCCTCTGACGATAGGCTCCCGCTACCCAACAGGGGGGGGGGGATGGGGAATGCTTCACTGCGGGACGTCTAACTTGCATTCTCCACCACGCAGTGTCATATGGAAGGATCCACACTCACGGAGGAGAATTCGGTTAACCCCAGCTTGCAAGGATGAAAAGTGTAAGACTGAACTCCTCACGGCTACTTTTTGCCGGGCCCTACATCTATCTGTGAATGTACAGATACTTTGAAGCATTATGGTCAACATAGTAGGATGGTCGAGCGGTGGGTATGGGGGCACTCCTTAGTTGGTTGGAGATGGAATCAACCCAGCATTGTCGTCCTGAGCTCACGTGTTCAATGAGTGGGTCGAATACGAGAAACATGCAATCCAGTATCATCTTCATCGAGTTAGTAGCTGCATCCAGTCTCTATCTATCATCTTCATCGTGAGCTCACGTGTTGAATTGACGAGTCGAGTACGTCTGCCAGACGTCAACATGCTTCCTTTCCGGGTCCAGAAGAAGCTCCAATACCTCTACGAAACCCGCGTACTGCTCCACCAGTCCCACCAGCCAGAACGTCTCGAGGTTCTCTATTGCCTTGGTCACAGCCACCTCCAACTTCTCCCCGTACAACTGCTTCTTGTTAATTCCCACCAGCCGGAAGACGAAGCCTGCCAAGCAGAAACAAAACAGGAAGGTTCCCCTTGCTGTTAGGGTCAAATGCCTAAATTTCAAACCCGGAGACCATGAACTCTCGATTTGCGGCCGTGATTAATTTTGGCAAATTTGGAAACTACTGGCACCGAAATGTTGGATAACTTGGGAATCTGCAAAACCGGAATGTGGACATTATTTTAAATGTGGAAGCTAAACAGCTGTGCTTAACACGGCCCTTACCGCCCGCGATTAAGAAACAAATCGAAAAGGGAAACAAGGGCTCATTTTCTGGTGATAAATCAGAACAATCGGCTAAGCAACACTTAGTCAGCCGTGGATCCTGCACTTGTCCGAGTATACTCTAACGAGAAACGGCTTGTTGTTCAGATGCTTTTGGTTCGTCTCGCGGCTGCGTTGCTGCATCCAGAACTATCCCGGTTGTAGTACACTATCCTGTCCATGGTGGCTACCGCTCATCGACGTTTCGCCGACTCAACCCGTAATCCGCCGAACGCCTGCATGTCACCCATGTTACAGAGACTACCACGATGACACAAGATACCACCCCCCCCTGGACCAATTTTTCAAACTTGATTACTACACCACGGAATAGCATGCGTAGATCAAACGAAGCATTTTCGGAAGGCTCTCGACGAGACGGTTCCAACGCCACGTTTTCGGCGGTATCACTCTATCTGCTGTGGAGCAATTGAGCCTTGAAAATCGGGTCAAGGGGTGTGGTATCTTCCGTCACCCTTGGCAGTATTGCATCCTGTCCCCCGAGGGGCAAAAACGTTGCGTCCTTGCGGAGGTGTCACAAATAAACCGCTTTTTTTACCTACCTCCGATCTGCTGCGGTGATTTCCCTCCGAATGGCATTTCTTCTTCGCCCAGTGCCGGTCCGTCCCCGTACTGTCGCAACGTCTTGCGCATCGCTTTCGAGACAAACGCCTGGGCCTGTGCACAGTAAATCGAGCTTTAACGCCGCGAAATATAACTACGGGCGTGAACACTGCACATTGTTTCTCGACCAAAGCTCGAAAAAAAATCGAAACGCTGTCATCAGAGGTAACCCTGAGGCCAAAGCCGGGTACATGCGATGTTGTCAAGGTTACACACATCGTGAAAAAATGATTTTATCAGCATGCGCCACCCTCCGCTTCGAAGGTCGGTCCCATGACAGCAATGGTACGTCCTCTCGAGGCCACGTTGTCCATGGTATAACGTTTACGGTCTACGGCATGCGTTTAACCCCCACACCGCGATCTGATCAGTCCTGTGGGGACAATGTTTCCGCCCTCTCGAGGCCGCGTGGTTGACGGTCTAGCAACCAGGGCATGCGAGACATGAGCCAACACCAGGCGTGCTCCGTCCCGGCTTTGTAGGAGTGCGCGGCCAATGGTCTAACGACTGTGGCATGCACGAAAGCAGGCGTGCTCCGTCCCGGCTTTGGAGGGATGCGCGGTCAATGGTCTAACGACTACGGCATGCACGACTATGAGTAGCCCCTCCTTCCCGCCCTCCATCGCCGACAAACCACGCTCGTGACCTTATCAGCACACCAGGCTTTGCAGGGTTTTTCTATCACGAAAAAAATGTTGGGACAAGGCATGCAATCGGGGATTTTGGGTTAGGGGTAGGGTTAGGGATAGGGTCTGCGTACCCCCTCCCTGTTAAATTTCGCTCATAAACTTGAACTATCGCAACGAAGGTCTGCGCCTGCTACCCCCTCCCGCCCTCGTTCTACTTCCTCACATACTTCATCTCTTTTGCAACGAAGGCAGGCCTACCTTTTCGAGAGTTTTGGTCTTTCTCTTGTGGGTGTATTGCTGAGCGGATACGTACACCTCGAGCGGGTTTCTCAGAGCCGTGACCATCAGGTACGGCCTCCTTAAATGGCGCTGGAACCCTGGAGAGAAAGTGGAAGTGCAACATTCAAGCGATGTATCGTTGGCGACTTAAGGTAACCAACCCCTCCTCCCCGCTAGAGTCGAATGTGACAAACTCCATTACTTCACGACTGCTTGACAATCACTTCATCATGACGAAGAGGATGCCAACCAAATCATGTGTTATCGGAAAGCAATTCAGCGGGATGGTTCCAACCCCACTGTTTTGGGAACCGCCACGCCCTGAAAAAAAAAAACGAAGACTAAACAAGTGAAACGACACGTAAGTTAACCCGCTGCGCAAAAGTTCTCTACTTTTTGGAAACATTCCAAAACTTTGGGAAAAAAAACCCATGTATAAAACGCCCACTTACCCCAGAGAAAGTGGCCGGCTAGCACCTTTTGCCTCGACAAGAGCTCGAGCTGGACCGGCTCGTCGACGAGCTTGAAGTGCGCCAGACAAATTTCTCGAGCCTGCCATCAGGCGACGACCAGGATGGTAAGGGATGCGTGCGCGTTCCGGTTAGGCTACACGGCTATGGTTGCCGGGGCGTCCTCTGCACCACGGCGCCTGTTGTTGAGCAGCTGCGGCGGAGGCCCGCAGATAAGTCGAGATCCTTCTAACTGGTTTTCGCGGATACGTGATGTTTCCATGCACTAAGGAGAGTTTTACCGCAATGCGCACCCGTCGCATGTATTTTGCGGGTTGGGGTTAGGGTTAAGGGGCTAGGGTTATAGTTAGGTTTAGACCTTTGAATGAGCCGAAAGCAATATATTTTCGGTGCCGTTCAACGCGGTAGGTAATCCGACTTCAAGTGAAGACCAAAAAAATCAGAGAAAACGGGCTCTGACAACAAGAACCTCAGGACCAACCACGCAAACAGTGTGGGGAAATTTCGAAAAAAGACCAGGGAAGGGGTGTTAAAAGTGTAAAGCATATCTATGCACACAATGCTACAAGTCAGCATGGTCCACGAGGGATTCGAGCCCAGGTTGTACTTTTGATGAGGTGTGCAGCGTATCCACAATACAATTCAGAGCTGTGCACCTTAACAAGGGGCACGCAGACCCTAACCCCAACCCTGAACCTACCCCTTACGCCAGCCCCAAAAACCCTCACTGGAGGCCGGCCACACCATGAACATCCATCTCGACGATACGGGGGAACGCAAGAAATCATTGAACCACCGATCCGCCCCCCATTTGAGCGTGCCGGAAAAAAAGCAAAACATTCCATGATGCAGGTAGTCTCCGCTGACGCAATGAGTTCGTTGTTAATCTATCTTGGACTTTCTCTGCATAGTGATGGACTTGTTGAGAACGTACTGGTAGCAAATATTCAAGGGCGGGTTCTGTAGGGTACGGGTAATCTCTGTAGGGTACAGGGGGTATCACAGAAGCATCCTTGATATTCTGTAGGGTACGGGTGGTGATACAGAACGCACAGAATAATCCTGTAGGGTACGGGGATGATACAGAACTTTCTGTGCAGATAGGGTATTGTGAATGGACGTCACAGAACTTTCTGTAGGGTACGGGGGATGATACAAACTACACAGAACTATTCTGTAGGGTACGGGGATGATACAGAACGCACAGAATAATCCTGTAGGGTACGGGGAAGATACAGAACTTTCTGTGCAGATAGGGTATTGTGAATGGACGTCACAGAACTTTCTGTAGGGTACGGGGGATGATACAAACTACACAGAACTATTCTGTAGGGTACGGGGATGAT